ACTAACTGAAACTTGGTGCGAGCCGAGAGTACAGAGCAGTATAAAACTAGTCTTAACAGGAGGCGTATATTATATATATTGCAAAATCACTAGTCGTTGATGCCATCAAATTGAATTTTATAACTATTTAAAAATATGTTTTAAACAACACGTCAACAAGCAGTTAAAACTATATCTAATAACAAAAAACTAAATTTTTTTTAATTTCAATTAAAAATGTTATGAGATTTTGTAACAGGTGTTCGACATATCGACCGTCTTTCTGTTATGGACCAGACGGGGCAGTCTTTTGAACATTTTTCGCGGAATCATTAACTCAGTGGGGGTGAGAAGATACCCTCTCATAACCGTTAAGTATTTCTAATTCTTGGTCTAGATTATAAGGAAAAATAAGGAACTTTTAAATTCTTCCGGCAAATATATCCATAGGAATAGATCCCTATTGGTCAAGCACTAAAGTCAGGCGGCCTCGACGGCAAACGGCTGGAATCTTGGTTAGCTATTCAATTATTGTTGAAAATTGGAATGCAAAAAGGGCTGATAACTTCCAGCGCTCAGTATAAGCGGTTGTTGGAAAAATATGTTTCGAGTTCTATTAAGGGCAAATCATTGCAAATGAGGGCGGAACCAGCCTACTAGTTAAAAGTGCGAACATCTTTTTAAAAAATTCCTATTTCGAGAGGAATTATAACAGAAAATTATCAAAGGTGCTGCTATATTTGTAGATAAAGGTAAATTTTTAAATTTCTTTTCAAACGTTAATTAAATCAATATAAGAGGGTGTCCCAAAATACAAAAATCACACCATTTTCTCATGCTCGATAACTCCAAATATGTTATTTTAAAAAAAAGTTTATACTTAAACCATTTATATCTAACGTAAAAAGGTGCTTTTGGAAATTTTTCAATAGAAATACAAAATTTCCATAGTAAAAAAGTTTTTTTTTTTTTTTTTTTTTTTTTTATCATCATTTTTTTGCACAAAAAACACCCGCCCGTAACTCCGAAGAACGGTACAGATATTATCGTGCGGTTTTCACCATCGATGGTTTTGATGAAAATTGAGTCCAGACACCGTATATTAGTTTTCGTCTATCTCCATATAGAAAAGGGTGTTTTCCCATCATTTAAAAGCGTCGAAATTGTCACCACCCTGGTACGTGTGTCATGGCTGGAGCGTAATTTGAAAGTTTCTAAAGAACTTACAATAATGCTAAGAATGGAGATTTTTGCTACATTATTGTTTATCAGCCAACAAATATCTATCGATTTTCAAATATTTTCCAATATGGGGCACTTCCCAGAAAATACAGCATGTTGACAGGGCAATTTTATTATTTAAATGGGTACCAATATTTTATTACATATTGAAAATATTTTTTTTAAAGCGGTTTATTTTATGAATTTTGATATCAAAACACTCTATATCTAACGTTAAACTGTTTTTTTGAGAATAACATAGACTGTTAAAATATTTTGGAGACAAAAAATTGTATTTATTAAAAAAAATATTTGTATTTTTATTAAATTTGTATTGCCTAAACGTCAAATATAGTTTTTACCACAGCCACTGTGACATAAAGAGTAGAAATGTGGGTATTTATTTCAAAAATTAAATTGTTCGAATGTCATTAATATTGACCGTAGCTGTCATAGAATTGGAAGATTATCACAAATTATTTATTCAATTGGAAACTCACTTTTTTTATTTCGCCGATTTCTTTTCGATTTTTCAATAAAATGACAATCAAGATGGCTGGTGTATCGCCATGGTCGCCAAATTTGCTAGTGACAGTTAGTGGCTATTTTCAAAATCGTCTTTAGTTTAGTTAAATTTATAACAGTTTACTTCTATTTAACTCACCTACAATAGTTTAATAAGTAAGTATTTATTATTTTATCAAGAAAAATAAAGAAGTAGTTCTTTGATTTGTATTACAATGACTTGTGGATATATTGGATTTTCTATAAAAGAACCAATTAATTATTCATTCTGTTCACTTCCAACGACAGGTTGCAACCTAATATGTTTTTCATATGCCGCACTATCAGCTCTGTCAAATAGAAAAAGTAGTTTTTCAAAAGAACGCTTGTAATGGAAATTCCTATTTGGATATCTTTGAGCGTAAACCCTTCAGGCTAACAAGCATTAATTATTATCCTCACAAAATAAAATCACTAGTAACGTATCCGTTCCTTCCGCCGGCAGATACTGTTTCATTTTTCGTGATAAAATAAAAAATACTCACCTATTAACCTCATTGTAGGTAAATTAAATAAAAATAAACTATTATAAATTTAAAGAAAGTCCATAAACTAAAGTCGATTTTGAAAATAGCTACTAAATGTCATTAGAAAATTGCCATGGCGACACCAGCCATCTTGATTACAGTGTTATTGAAAAATCGCTTTTTATTCAAAATCTGAGCCAGATAGGTATAGGAAACCCTAATACAGTTTGAAAGAGCATTTAAATCTGCTTCGACTTATTTAAAAAAATACATAGTGTTGCATTTGAAATAACGAAGTTAACAATTTTTTGTTTAAATGATTATTATGTAAAATAATCATTTAAAATAGACCAGCAATTTTTGATCCCCCTGTATACATTTAAGAAATTAATCAAATTTTTTAGTAAACTTTATTTCTCTGGCTTCAAAGCCAGCACAAGAATTAATTCTGAAAACTAATGTACAAGGTGTTGACAAACATTTTTATTAAGGCATGCAAATTTAAATATCTTTAAATATCTCCAAAACCAAAGCTTTTAAACATATTAAACCCTTATAATAAATGTCTTATTTTATGTCCAAGAATCCAAAAATGAAATAAAATACCGGGTGTTCCATAAGAAAAAATATAACTTTGGCATGGATCTTAGTTCTGACACACCCTGTACATCTCAAAATAATTTTAAATTATGCACATTGCCTTTCCACATATACCCATAAAATATTTTGCTTCTACATCTTTCCGTTTTTGTATAATCAACCGAGGTGAATGAGATGCTCCACCCAGTATATCCCTAGTGTTATAAAAATAAAAAAAAAAATCACACAAAGGCATAGAATTTCCCAAAGTCTTATAAAGTAGATACTGGTGTGTCCGTTGTTGGCTCATTAGCAATTCTTTTCAATTTACTTTCATTGACCATCATAAAATATTATTTCATGTATTACCTGATCTGTGCGTTTACAACATCAGGACATTGTCTGGAGATTTTGGACCAGTTTTGTACCTATTTATCTTATAACCTCATATCCGGAAAAAGTGCTAGTACTTGCATTTTTATTATTAACAAATAAACTTCTTTCAAAAGACTCAACACCAACTATTGAAAGAAAAATATACAGAACTTTATACAAATACAGTTAGTTTTTCCACTAATGTACCGGTAGAAAATTAAATTAAAATAGTCAGGGATGGGTTAGAACACGATCAAAATTTTAAAAGATAGAACAATATTATACATAGATAGTATTTTGGAATTGTTGACATTTTGTGTTAAAACTACTTATTTTCAATAACGAATTTTTTCAACAAGATTTCGGTATGGCAATGGTATCGCCTCTCTCGCCTTTGCTAAGTAATATTTTTATGGGAGATTTTGAAAATAATACAATAAATAGTTTTTTTTAAAAAATGCTAAATGCGTTATGTTGATGATATTTTTGCAATATGACATTATAACGTTTCTGAAATAGACATTTTTTGGATTATACAAATTCTCGCGAACCTACCATAAAATTTACTTTAATTAATTATTTTAGAAGTAGAGAGAGATAATCGTTTGCCATTTCTTGATGTTTTAGTGTCAAAGTTTCAAAATAAACTAATTTTAGATGTTTACAGAAAACCCACAATTACAGACAGATACTTAAATGTCACATCTAATCACAGTATTAGTGTAAAAAAGGTGTTATAAAAAGTTTATATGATAGGACAAAAATATTATGTTCAGACGACAATTCACTAAACAGACCACATAAAAAATACATTAATAAAAAACGACTACATTCGTGAAACATATACACCCTTAAATGTACGAACTAACATAAAGATTATTTAAGAAAGGGAGATTTTCACAAATATAAGATTTGTCAGCATTCCTGGGACACAGGGCACAGAATAAATTTTAACAACGCCAAAATTATAATGTAAGAAGCGATAGCCTGGCTGTATGGCAATCGCTTCTTTGTTTTTAAAGAACATAACATAAATAAACATAACATACGTAAAAATTAAAAATAATCATACAGAAAGGTTGAGGCTTTTGGTTTTACCTTATTAAGTAATTGTTATCAGGTAGTAATTGTTAATTTTGAAGTTTAACATGACATAATGTCATTTTAACAGAGCGTCAACGGTTTTTCTAGACGTAACTGTTTAAAAAAAACTGAAGTGTTCTCAAACAGTTGGATTTAAATATATTGTAAATAGTTTCTTTTTTTCTTTGTATTTTT